AAGGAAGGAAAAGAAAGGAAAAGAAAGGAAATGAAAGGAAAAAAAAGGGATTTATAAATAATGCAATATTTATTACTTTATAAATTTTCCTCAACATCTTTCTCGGGGTCATCAAGATTTCCCCTCTCGTACCTCTGTATTGTTTTCACTAGTACAAGGCACAGATGTCTTTGTTCTTTTGTTCATATCTTCCACTTCATCTGCAAATAAAACGTTAAGAGGACCCACCAACCTTGGAATCTTGAACAAATCTTCTTGACGAACCTATGAATACGAAAAATGGGAGCATCATCAATATCTTCCTCAATTTACGAGTTGGATTTTGAGAAGGGAGGAAAACCGGAGAGCCCGGAAAACCCTCGAAGCACGGGAGAGAATGAACAAACAACTCTACTCACATACGAAGTCGAGATCGGCAGGACTCAAACCCGGTGGGTGTGAGCGCTCACACTGCTACGCCACCCGCTAAGCCAAAGCTTAATAGACCCCTTCACAGTTCCCTGCGCCATCTAGAAAGGTAGCCGTGCCTTGAGCCTGTAATGATAGAGACCTTTTTTAACACCTTGGACAATTATTCACATGTCTCTATCATTGCAAGCTCACCGTTCGTCTCGCTTCGATGCAAAGGCACGGCTACCTTTCAAGTTGGCGCAGGGAGCTGTGAATTGGACTACTGATTTCAAACCGGCGATGCCATAATCTCCATTACCGATAGCACTCAAACGTACCTTCATATGATCAAACGCTATTCCAGTGTGCTTGGTGAACTTCTCATTGAACACGGGTATTTTAGGGTATCTCTGGCTGAAGTGGTTCAGCATGGTAAACGTGGCATTCATTTTTATTCCACTGGTGATTGCTTCTGTTGTAGTGCTGTGCTTCTTGTCGATGGCTTCGTCTTTAAGCACGTCTTCAAACGTTGCTTCGTGGATCAGGACACTGGCATTACTCCCTGTATTTAATAAACATGCTACTTTATGTTTTTTTCTATTTTTTATATATTTCTATGAGTGCCAAAATAAGAGGAAAATGAAAGAAAGAACGAGAACAAGAGAAAGGAAAGAATAAGAAAGGAAGGAAGGATAAATAGAAATAAGCAACAAAGAAAGACAAGGTGCATTTTCTTCGTCAATTTAAGGCTTCTGACATAAATGCTTCGCGAAATTTCTTTCGTATTTAAATTTGTATTCCCTCATGAGAATAGTAAGACAATTGGTGCTAATTAACTGAACAAAAGAAAGTGTGCAAGGGAGTCTGGTAGTAGAGGTCAATGACGCCATCGTGCAAACGTCCTATAAAGATGATTATTATTATTACGAAAGCAAAGAACAAATGGAACAAGAACGAACAAACGAATGGACGACGGAGAGATTGATGGATGGACGGATGGACGGATGGATGGACGGACGAATGAATAAATGGATGAATAAGAAGAAGTAGAGTTGTTTGTTCCATCATAAAGGTACAACTACTAAATTTTGACAAAACATTTATCTCTACTTTACTTAACGAGTATTTCCTCACCTGCCTCTATAAGCGCAGGACACGGTCGAGTGTCTCCTGAATATACAACCTTCCATCCATTAGTGTGTTGGAAAACAAGCCCGTATGCTTGTGCACAATGATCCACGGGCACAGCCAAAACCTGTCGATAAAACACAAAAGGTATTTAGGGGTAAATGTGACGTCATAGCCGCCATTTTGGCTGACATGAATGTGAACCAACATGGCGGCCTTTTTTTGTGTCCTTGTGACGTCATAGCCGAACTTGAACAAAATATTTGGTCTTGGTGTCTTGTCATGTCAACCACCATGTACGCCACCAACACTTAGATACCACAAAATAGCACAAATGAAACCAAATACAGCACGGTACCGGTCCAAACATTTTCTTTGTCTATAATGCCATAAACAAAGAATCTGGTATTTTTGGAATGCTGTCTTTCATTCCATTCGTTTCATTGCTAAAATAGATAAAAAACATACCTGATTTGCTTCAATACAATGAAATTCCTGACTTAATTCATGGTCAGCTTTAACTATTTGCGTGCAGTCAATGAACCTGTGAAGTGAATCGCAAACTTAGAAAAGCRTTCAAGGGAACACGGAACACACTTGTGAACTTACTAATTTTGAAAAAAAACAACAAAGATCGGTAACTGCAAACTGATCAAGTCGTAAAGAAAAAAGTCAAATATAACTGACGATACTTGATTGCGCTAAAGAAAAGGACTGTCTTTGCCTAAATGGCTGCCTTAGTATGTCTTGAGCCCAGGGTCTACCCGCGCGAAAAACAAAATAAATTACCATGGTAACCCAGGTTATCCATGAATGTTTAGGGCTTCAAAAGAGCATCCTCCTTGATGTTCTCACCTGTAGCGTAGCTCTTCACAGTACAAACTGTATTCTTGTAACCAGAGATTGATCTTCGCTGGACCAATGATTATGATCTCAGTATCATTAATCTGCAAGGGTATATAAAAAATCAACCCCTGAAATAAGCTCTGGGCTGATCTAAGTCAGGGCA